GAGAGAGAGAGAGAGAGAGAGAGAGAGAGAGAGAGAGAGAGAGAGAGAGAGAGAGAGAGATTTCAGCGATCAGTTGCCTCCACCATGAACGAATCAGCTGTCATATTTGTTTTTGTGAGTGAAGCCGCAGCAGGTCATATAGTAATACTATAATAGTTGTAATACAACAATATTATGTATGTATTCAGAACTTGCTCCACGAGATGACTCCCCACTTACGTGTGTTGTATGCTTGCATGTTCGGTGTTTTGACACCATTTGCATGGAACAACAGCCGCATGTTCTGCATGTAGAAACAGCAAGCCAGATCAAGGAAAGGTTGGAGAGGGAGTACTTGACACCGAGGCTGGACCACAAAGAGGGTGACAGCGTTGTGCAGTGTGGCCTTACGTGGGACGTAGATTGGCTGAGCGACTGGACGCGTGCGGAACCGACACCTTGTCGCGATGTGGTTGAACCCGTGTGGCGCCCACATTTGAAGACGCCGAAGCTTGTGAATGAGGCTGATTGCAATCATCATGAAGATGATCGACCTTGTCGCTGTGATAGACCAGATAGCTTTGAGCAACAACCGACGCCGGAGATCCCTGAGTTTCGCGAGGTGTGTGCATTATTTAGAATTGTCTCTCTCAAAGTTGGAGGAAGTCGTACCCACTGCAACCCAATCTCACATGATCCACCAAAATCCAAGTAAACCAGATTGATCTAACCAGACAAATACAATCTGACGCGCAAAATTTGCAAAATACAGCGTGTGTCGTACGAACTGGTCATCTTTGTGATACCCCCCAATCTAACCCGATCCACCGAAATCCAAGCAAACCCGGTCCACCGAAATCCAATCTAACCCGATCCACCGAAATCCAAGCAAACCCGGTCCACCGAAATCCAAGCAAACCCGGTCCACCGAAATCCAAGGAAACTCGATGCACCGAAATCCAAGCGAACCCGATCCACCAAAATCCAAGCTCTTCTGAGAATTGCCCAAATTTGTAAAATACCCCTCACGTCGTATGAACCGGTCAATCTAACCAGACCAATCCAATCCAATTGATCCAACCCAATCGAACCCGATCTGTAATCCAATCTAAAGATTCTAAACCCAATTTATGTAATCCACTCAAACCTGATCTATACTTAATCCAACCCAATTGATTTAACCCGATCTATAACTCCATCTATCCCGATCTTTAAATCTATCTAACACAATCTAACACAATCTAACGCAATCTAACCCAATCTAACCCGATCCATAACCCAATCTATCCCGATCTGTAATCCAATCTAGCCCGATCTGTAATCCAATCTGACCCGATCTAACCCGATCTCACCCAATCTTACTGAATCTAACAGACACAATCTAACCCATTTCTTCTTTTTTTTTTTTTTTTTTTTKTTTTKTTTTKTTTTTTGAACAGGCCCTTATGGTCCTGGCTCCATATCCATTCTGGGGAGCGTCAGTCCGGTTCCTATTCCCCCGGCAAGTCAAAATTGAGTACATATGATTACCCACTCACGCTTCCTTCCGTTTGGCCGAAGGAACCCTGACCAGCATTGATTGCTCCTACTAAGGAGGATTGACTGTCAGCTTGCCCAGGTCGCTCATTCCTCTCAGGCTTCTAATCAGTGCCTGTCAAATAATTCCTTGCATAATGAGAACAGCTAAGGGGTCTGCTACCAGCTATGTTGTTTGTCATTGTCCTTCTCTCTGTACCCTTTGAGTACTGTTGTTGATCGACGCTCAGCCCCTCCTACCAGGTCCCATGGTGGGGCCCAATAGACATTAAGGTGTAGCCTGGTGCCATTTCTTCCATCGCAATCTGTTATCTGCTATCGTTGCCACCTTGCCCTTTAGCAGCCATTCTCTCTTGAATGTCTGCTTCCTGGTTGCTTGTCTTTCTGGTCTGTGTTGCGTAGAGGTCACTATTCTCCGCCATCTGCTCCTGATTTCCGTCTCTGCCATGCTCAGCAGTAGAGACCACATTTCTTCCTTTGCCACCTCTGATCCCTCGATTGTCCGGGTGCACCTTCGCTTCCATATTGCCCACAGGCCCAATTTCCTGAGCAAGTGGAACCAGACTTCCCTGCTGCCCTTGATGTTGCTGGGAGTGTTAGATAGCAGAAAGATGGAGAGGGTAGGGATGTTGGGGGGGGGCGTTGAGAACAGGATCGACCATAGCTCCCAGATCTTCTTCCAGATCCATGTAGCTTCTGGACAGTGTAGGAGGCAGTGGGGGATGTCCTCGGGTGAGTTGTTCTTGCACATTGAGCAGTATTCCGAGCTCTCCGGGTCGGAATGCTTCCTTCTTGCATGTAGTCATTGGTTGACGGGAAGGGCTGTATGTGCTATCAGCCATTGCATGCTGCGTATGCGGTTTGGGCGGATGCTAAGGTACTTGGTCCAAGGGATGGTGATAGGGGTCGCAGGGTCGAGGTGAAGGATGGTTCTCCACCTCTCCCCCAGCCTTGGGTTCGGGTCAGTGGTTTTTAGACCGAGGTTATAGCCAATCTTTACGTCGTATTCCGTTATCGCCCTTGGTTTCCCGTTGGTGCCTAGGTCCCATACCCACTCCTTTGGGTCGAATTCTAGGTTCTCGATGCTCAGTTCCGGCTGGAATATGAGCCAGGGTATCCTGTGGGAGACTCTTGCCTTCCTTAGCAAGAAGGTTTCCATTTGTTCATGCTGTGGCGCTTTGTTTAGGGCCTCTAGTTCGTATAGGTATTAGGTTGTGTCTGGCGATGGGGTAGGAAATGAAGTTGGCCTGGTAGTTAGTTGGGTGCGGTTTGGACATGAACCGGTAGGCTCTTGTTGGCGGGAGCTGTGTGGTGAGTAATCCCCAGTCGCCTGGTTTCCACGTGTGTGTCTCTTTTAGGAGGGTCGTCCATGAGGGGGGGATGCTGTGGAGAATTTCCGATAGGTTGCTGGACAGCGAGTGACAACCCTTTAGGGTGGTGCGCAGGTTCTGTTCGTTGAGCCACTCTTGTCGGTCTTCGGACCACAGATGTTTGATCTGCCATACCCCTCGTTCTACCCATGAGAGCCGTCTGCGGTCTTTGGGGCGGAGGGTCCAGGGTTCCCTCTCTGTGTCTTTTATCCAAGGATTACAGAACAGGGGCTGTCTTAGGACTTCCTCTTTGTTGCGCGGAGCGCCTTTCTTTTCTGGTATCACGTCTAACCTGATCCAACTGGCCAAACCTATCTAACTCATTTCAAACCCGTCTAACCTGATCCAACGGCACCCAACCCCATCCTACCCCATGCATCCAACCCTGTCCAACCCCATTCATCCAATGCCCCCCAATCTCCCCCCAATTCCCCCTCTATCGCCCCCCTATCCACCCCCCCTATCAAACCCCGCAGTGACTTGTTGTGTTGCAGGCACTATATATGCTGCGGCATGTGACGACATTTGCCGTGCCGTCACAGTCACCGCATCTCATGGAGGCACAATAGCACAGAAAATCCGGTCCGAGCGTCACGGTCAGTGTCACACCATACGGTGCCTGCATCTGATGTGACACTCTGACTGGATTCGCTGTGCTATTGTGCCGAGATTTCCTCTGGCGCTATCACCAGAGTAGCTTCTGCGGTGTACTACACTTGCTGCGCGTCATGTGACCACATTTTCTGTGGCATTGGCGTGACACTGTGACTATATTTGCTGTGACAGTCCGTGACTTAGTTGCTGTGACATTCTGAAACTGTGTGTGACGTTCTGTGTTACTGTGGCTACAGTTGCGTTGGCGTTCTGTGACACTGTGTGACATTCTGTGACATTCTCTAACCATAGGTAGTGTGGCATTGTGTGACACTTTGCGACATTCTGTGTAGTGGCGGTGACACTTGCTGACTGATACCTTTCTCGACCTTTTGGCTAAGAATAGATCAAGTGTAGTATCTGTTCTAATCAGTTTAAAATTTAAATCTGATCTGTGGTCGATCAGACCATTGAAAAAAAAAGAAAACATTCACTGACTGTAGTTTCTGTGACATTCTGTGACTATAGTTGCTGTGAAGTTCTGTGACAATAGTTGGTGTGACATTCTGTGACAATAGTAGTTGCTGTGACATTCTGTGATTACAGTTGCTGTGAAGTTCTGTGACAATAGTTGGTGTGAAATTCTGTGACAATAGTTGGTGTGACATTCTGTGACAATAGTTGGTGTGACATTATGTGACAATAGTTGGTGTGACATTCTGTGACTGTAGTTGCTGTGTGATGCTGTGACTATATTTGCTGTGATGTTTTGTGCCTTCAGTTGCTGTTACGTTCTTTGACTATAGTCGCTGTGACAATCTGGGACGCTGTGTGACAATCTGTGCTGCTGTGTGACATTCTGTGATGCTGTGTTACATTCTGTGACATTGTGGCTACAGGTGCTTTGACTTTCTGTGATGGTGTGTGACATTCTCTGACATTGTGACAGTTCAGCATTGTATATGATGTTTTCTTGCTGCACCAAACTGTCCGCGATCTCTTTTATGTCGAAGATCATCATTCCTCTGGCCCCACACTCCAGCAGGACAATGAACCAACACTCTGCGACCTTCTCCTTTGCATAGCTACAGACACTGTGGCACTCGGCTGTGGCCGCCATCGCCTCTGTCACAATTACTACAATCAGATGGTTTCTGCATCCATGTGTGTAGAGGACTGTCCCGCCGTTCCTAACTGCAGGCACCCTCCGCATCCGGACACTATATGTCCATTTAGTGGCCATGGGCGCTATACTGAATGCATGGTCTTCTGTGGTGAGCATTCTTCCTTCATTTTGGCCTGCAACCGACATGCCATTTGCCGGGAGTGTATGGTGGGCATGCTCAATGCCAGCCGTCGTGGCAATTGTTGTGCTGATAATGCTCAGCTAGGTCTCCCATGTGCCCACCCACCTCATCCTTACAATGTGCGTCCTGTCTGTCGTCAAGGACAGACTCACTCTTGAGCTTTCCTTATGATTTCCTTTGTCTTCATCTTCATTCCACACTCCGTACTTTCCCTTACTTTCCCTTTTGGTTCTTTGTTCGTCTTCTCTTCATCTTTGTTCCCTGTGGTTATCACCCTCTCGTTTACTCTGCTTCTTTCTCAAAGTGTACAAGTGGGTTGTTATGGCACACAGAGATGCGGACAGCTCGCTCTCAACGTCATCAATGTGGCGACCCTTGTACGCTGAAGGGGGAGTTAAAAGAAGAATGATAAAAATAAATGGTTTCAGTGCCCCTCGTGGTTGTTTTGTGTGTTTTTTTTTAATGCTTGCCTTTTGATTCGCTAAGTGCGCTCTTTTAGTTCATAGTTATGTGACAATATATATATTCGCAGTGACAATGCTGTGAGTCTGGGTGACGTGGAGACAATGATTACAGTTGCTTGACATTCTGCGAGATGTGACGAGTACATTTGCTGCGACATTCTGTGATGCTCGGGTGATTTGAATACATCATCTGCTTTGAATACGTTCTCCTCTCTGTGACTTCTTTGGTGTCACACTCTTGTTGCTCTGTTGTGTGACCGCAGATTTCTTTTTCTGACTGTGGCCTGTGCGAAACTGACCAGTTGTGTCATTTTCTGCTGCTGCATTTGGTATTTTGCAAGAGTTCTATGTGTGGTCGCATGGTTGTGCTGTTGTGAGCACAAGGTCTGTGCTCCAAGTGTCTATATACCTCTGCCTTTGCCTGATTCGTAACAAGGTTGTCTAGTCTTCCAGTGGCTTTGCGCATGCCGGTTGGAGGTTTACTCTTGTGCATCTATCTGGTTGTAGCGGTACTACATCATCATGCGTGTGCCTGGTGGTTGGTTGGTGTTGATCGGTGCTGCTGATCATATGCGATGACGGTTTCTCTTCTTAGGCTGTGGTGACTTATTTATATGACTTCACGTGCTTGTTTGTTTGATTCATGTGACACGGTGGTTGCATGCATGCAGGCACGTGTGTGTGTTTGTGCGTGTGTATATATGTTGTGCATGTTCATGTGCGTTTTGGGCACTGTGGTGATTGGGTTTATTGGTTTGACATGTTGGTGGTTGTCTATGTGCATGCAAGGATGCCTGTGCGCACGACGGGTGGAATGCTGGCGCTGAATGTGGGTGTGGGTATCGGGGAGCGGGGGGTGAGGGGGGGGTCTGTGTGTAATATTGTTCGTATGCATTTGTGAAAAGGTAGAGATCGCTACTTTCAACGAGACTGCGAGCAACTCGTCTTCGTTGCTGCGGCGGATGGGACGCCCCGAGGATTTTGTGAGGGGAAGCAAAAGCTCCCAGCCTTTCCAACCAGGAGGATTTGATGGGGGAGGAGGTGACGAAGGTCGACCGCGTGCTCCGCCGGATGCAGAGAATGGGGGTTGGCTTCACGAAGTTTTGCACCAAACAGGTCCATGGCAGACGGTTCCACCCGGGTTCAAGCATGGAATTAGGTTTGACGATGAGCCACAGCCAGAGGTAGACGATGCCGGCAAACTCTTCTTTTGTGTTTATTACTGTTTAATTAATTAATTTCGTAATTATGAATTATAATTTTAATTAGCTAATTACTAATTAGTTAATTCATTGAATGTTGACTCCTCTTTCTCTTTCTTTTACCATTTTTGTTTCTCTGAATATGTCTATTGTTTTCTTCAACTCTGTTTTCGTCGGTACCAAGGTTTTCCACAGAGGAGCGACAAAGAAACGAAGAAAACGACGAGACTGCGTTTTGTTTATCTTCTTGTTTGCTGCATGTCAGATACTTAACTTACAAAGCAATGAGCAAAATCCACAGAGCAATCAGTGAACACACATGTAGAAAAGTTGATTACATTGAAGTTCTTGATGAAGAAACACCCCCCCATAATCCCCCAAAAAACAAAGCTCACAAACAATTGCAGTCTCTTTGGCCATCGACCAGCCAAATGCGATCACATTCCCCTACTTCTACTGTCCCCAAACATAATGCACCCTCATCTTGACTGTATCTGACGAGAATCATAGCTTGTATGCAATCATGATCCGGGTGCATTGCGTTTGGTAGAGGACGGTAGCCTGAACTGGCCTGTTCTACTGACCCACGCTTACCATCAGTGGTCCCCGCCAGTTTCCCATATGAAAGGACCAATGTCCCCCCGCCAAGGTGCTCCATCCACCCTGCCATGCAGCAAAACGGTGCTCCCTCCAATATCCAGTTTAAAAATGTGTATTGCTGGAGCTGCCATATGAACAACCAAGGTAAGTCTTCTCCTCCCAAGGCTCTCTTGCTAGCACCAATCTCCCTCTCTCTCTCTCCTGTCTCTTATACACATCTAGATGTGTATAAGAGACAGGTCGTACCCACTGCAACCCAATCTCACATGATCC